CAGAGACAACATCAGCAGCCGCAGAGACAACAACGGCAGCAGCAGGAACGTCAACACCAATCGCTGGTCCTTCAACATCGCCGCTCCTCGTCGATGACACACCACCGACACCCGCGCAACAACTACACCCAGCACCACGAGAAGTTCATCGAAGCGCCAACTTCACCGCCAGCTTCTACTCCAACTCCGACCTGTACCGACGATCACCCGGACATCACGCCGACGAAAGCACCTGGCACGCAAGGATGGGACACCCAAGCAACACAGTGTTAAACAATACGATAAGGGCAGGAGTACTCGACAAGGACTCACTACTACTGACCGATGGAAGAGAACTTCAACGAGTACGTGGAACGTGCTTCACCTGCCCTGAAGCTGACTTACCGCATCGACCGTTCGCGTCTCACCATACCCCAAGCGCACCAGCTTACGCGCCACTCGAGAAGGTGTACAGCGACATTCTGTACAACCGCGAGCCAGGACAGAACGCGTACAATTACACCATCACGTTCATCGACGTCGCGATACGTTACGTCTGGCACTTAAATCTTCCAAGCAAGGATATGGCGCTCGAAGCGTTCGTCGCCTGGCTCCCTGTAGCGGAAAGAGAATCGGGCGTCAAGCTAAAGAGTTTTCAGTCAGACGGAGGAGGAGAATACACCTCACAGAGGTTCAAGCAATGCTTGGCTGAAAGGGGGATCAAGCGACTCATCTCCCTCCCCTACGCCCATCAATAGCAAGGTGTAGCAGAAAGGATGAACAGGACTCTGCAGAACACCATGCGCAAACTGCTACGTGGCATGCGGCTACCCAACCACCAGTGGCCCGAAGCAATGGACCACGCCGTGATGCTGCACAACTTGCTTTCCTCGTCCTCACTCCCGAACAACGCATCACCGCATCTGCTGTGGACAGGAAAACTGGGCAGCACAAAAATGTTACGAGTCTTCGGCTGCAAGGTACAGTACCGACCCCCATCTGCACGAGCCGGCCGATTCTCCCAACGAGCACAGTGGGGGCTACACCTGGGCATCGAAAAACACTACAACGCGTGGAAAATCTTCGACATCGAGACAAAAGAAACAGTGGCAGCACGTGATGTCATTTTCTACGAACGACTCACACTGCCGACGTACCTTGCCAACCTGGACGGAAACCGAGACCTCGCAGGTGGCTTCCGTGGAGACCGAGCCTTCGCTTCGGCAGAAGACGAAGCTGACTGGGACGAGCAGAACGTGGAAGGAGCCTCGGAAGAAGCCGGACCCCTCCCCTACTGCTCCGTCGACGTGCCAATGGATGACGAAAACCCACGCGAAAGCATCAACGCCGAAACATACTACCACTTCGCTGACAACGGTTACGTTACACCTGCACAAGTCAACACCGACGACGCAGAACGCGTAGGACCCAACTTCGCACCTGATCCAGAAGCGGGAGACGAAGCAGTTTATCCCGCGGACATGTCACTCCCCCGCTACACACAGAGTGGACTCCAGATACTCGGGCTCGTCACCGCAGTCCACGGCACGGCCATTCCTAAAGAGCCTACCACAGTTCAGCAGGCTCTGGGGGGGGAGCATAAGGAAAAATGGCGCGAAGCCATGGACAGGGAATTAAAGGCACTAGAGGAGCGCAACACTTGGAAAATCGTTCCCATTAGTGTGGCGCGGAACAAAACGATTCTCATCGGAAAGTGGGATTTCCAAGTGAAAACAAAAGCAGACGGCACCATCGACAAATTCAAAGCACGCTGGGTCGTACGTGGCTTCGACCAAGAACACGGACGTCACTTCACCGAGACATTCGCTCCGGTTAGCCGACATACCTCACTGCGAATTCTCCTCGCGATCGCCGCCATGAAGAAGAAGTTACGACAAATCGACGTCGCGAACGCATTTCTTTACGCACCTGTCGACGCCGAAATCTTTGTCGAGTTACCGCACGGCTCCAACGGTGAGCCCAATCAAGTCTATCAGCTGCTGAAGTCGCTCTACGGTATCAAGCAAGGCAACAATACCTGCACGCTCGCCTCATTCGCATCGGCTTCAAACAACTACCGCATGATCAGGGGATGTACCGGCTCACGAAGAGCACCGACTACATCCTGTTAATCGTTTACGTAGACGATCAACTCTACATCGGCTCTACCGACGGCATCACAACCTGGTTCGAAGGGGAGCTACAGAAAGACCTCACGCTCACGGTCTCAACCACCGTCACACAGTACCTCGGTCTCAACATCCGAGAAGAGGAAGACGCGATCTACCTCACTGCCGCGAAATACGCCGACACCATCGCCAAGCGCTTCGCACTCACACCGACCGCCATCTCCACACCGTACCACTACACGACAGGTAATAGCAAGGGAAGTTCCACTCTACTTAAGCCCGCCGGCATACGAGACTACCAAAGAAAACTGGGCTGCCTCCTTTTCGCAGCTGTCACCTGCCGCCCGGACCTATCGTACTCTGCAAGTCAGCTCGCCACCTACCTCAAGAAGCCTGAAGCAGAACATCTGGCGGAGCTCGACCGTGCTCTTCACTACCTCGTCAGCACCCCGACGATCGGGCTAACTTACTACAAGAACGCAACTACACCGCCTAAGTTAATCGGCTACGTCGACGCCGATCACGCTGGCGACTCCGACAATAGGCGGTCTCGCACCGACTACATCTACCGCCTCGAACCTATCGGACCTATCTCTTGGCAGTCGAGCAAGCAGGAATTAATCGCCCTCTCGTCAGCTGAAGCAGAATATATTGCACTCTGTTCAGCCACCAAGGAAGGACTTTACCTTCGCGAACTGCTGGAAGAAGCGAAGCTGGCTCAGTTACCCAGCTTCACTCTGTTCTGCGACAACCAGTCGGCAATTCGGATTGCCAACAAGAACGGCTTCGCGAACAGGACGAAACACATCGCCCTGCGATATTTCTTCGTGAAGGACGAGATCGAGAAAGGGAGGCTCGAGCTGTCATACTGCCGCACATCCGAAATGGTAGGTGACTATCTGACCAAGAAGCTCGGAAAGCAGAAGTTCGAGTACTGCATGCTGCTGACTGGACAGAGCCACGTCACCAGCGGCGACACTCCAGAAGCGAAGGGGAGTGTTGGAAACAATCGGTCTTAAGCGCCTCTGTCGTGTCGAAACACCAAGGCACAAGCGAAGCAAAACATATCGAGACACCAGCGAGTCAACCCTCGGAGGTTGAAGTAACTGCTGGAGGTTACGCGAAAGTCAAAGGTCAGCGACCTTTGACCTGACAAGTACAGCGCGACAGCAAGGACACACAACTGACTCGCTACAGAGCAGTTGCCCGAGTCGTCACTGTATCGAACCGCAACAACAACAGTAAAATAGTTATAACTGCATCTCTTCGTATTCCTTGTACTCCTATATAATCTTGTATCTCCTTGCTTTAATCAATCTACTTTGCCCTCACATACTAGCGCAAGGTGGTTCACAATACTTCATTAAACGCTTCCGCTATTACATATTAGTTTGACATGTTGATTTCACCCTCACGTATGATATTGAACATTTGGCCCTCCCGCTGAAACACGCTTTGGAAAAACTTCATCACGAGGCCAGTTGAGGCACCCTAATCCATATGCATGGCCTAGATCTAGTTTTGATATAAATTAGTCCGAATATTTTCGCCCTGCAACCATTTGGAAAAAGACACAGACAACAAATATTATGTTTGAAATTGAATATGAATCTCACAAAGCAGGGTAGTTTCTGTCCATTCTTATAACACGCCCCTTTCCAGCTTTATTTTTTTGGTGAATCGGATTCGTAACAAGCACAATAACGGTGTTCGCTCTGCCAAACCTCGTCTGTGCGCCAAGCGTCGTTCCATTTCGTTAGGAATTCTTGGCAGCCACTGCTCCGGGCGTGATCGAAACGAAATTTCCGTTTTTTCCTGTTTCCGCACAGCTGTGAGCAGCCGAACACGCGGGAGGTAAGGTCGTGTCCGTAGGGATGACATGTCAAAGTGGGCAGTGCCAACTTGGCAGAGTGTCAAGAAATTGCAGGTTGTCAGCCAATACAAATCGTCGGACACTTTTGAAATTGGCACAGACAAACCTACAAACGAGAGAAGATTGTCGCAGGTACCTATCTCACGACCAGATGCTGCCCAATCAGCACACAATATGTCTTTTGAATCGTTCGTTGCCTAGCAGATCTAGCCATGACAAATTCTCAAACCAATGAAATTGCGTCGCTGATGTTCGTACCTGCGCTTCGACTTGACACTTCCGCTACAGTGCTTGACACTCTAATTTGAATTCGCTTCGGGTTGACACGCTCTCACTTGACATGTCAACCCTACGGACACGAACTAATTTGGTCATATCAGGGGCGCGCACACGCCGTTTGGCCAACAGCCCACCATCTGCGGGTTTGACTCGCGAGCCACACAACGCCGCGCCGCGGGTGCGGTGAGGTGCGAGGCGTGTCTGCGCGGCGATTGCAGCGGGGCGACTGCAGCGGAGCGACTGCAGCGGAGCGACTGCAGCGGAGCGACTGCAGCGGGGCGACTGCAGCGGGGCGAGGTGACGTGACGCCCAGTGCGCGGTGTCTCGCTCGTAACGGTGGCAGTCGTGCTCGGTGGGTGTGCCGCCGTGGCTCGCGCGCAGGGAAGAGTGGGAGGGGAGGGAAATGGGGGAGGGGAGGAAAGGGAGGGAGAGGGGCAGGAAGGGGAGTGGTGGGCTGGGGAAGGCCGAGAGGGGAGGAAGGATGAAAGGTGTAAGCAGAGAAGGGAAAGGTTCGCCGCGCTTGTGAGGAGTGGGTGGAGAGGAGCAGATGGCGTGCCGACGGCCGAGGCGCATGACCCACCTCCATGCCTCGTATTCACCCCTCTTCTCGTCCCATCCTTACTCTGCCTCCCCACCTCACATCTCCCCCCTCTTTGCCCTCCTTCCTCTCCTCTCCCCCCTCTCTGCCTTCCCCCCCTGTCTGAACCCTTTGGATTTTCGCACCTCTCGTCGCCCGCTAGGGAGCGTCTTTTTGAAGTGATTCCACCTGCAACGCCCTGCCTCATCGCACTCACGCCACCTCGCACCGCTCTTCACCGCTCCGCGCCATGGCCACTACGTCGGGCCCAGAGCCCCCGGGGAGCACAGGGAGCGCAGCAGCAGGTGCGGTAGAGGAGGAGGAGATGAGTTTGTGTGTGCGGTGGGCGGGCAAGGAGCTGACGGTGGGCGCCAGCGGTGACGACACGGTGGGCGAGCTGAAGCGGCGCATCTGCGAGGCGACGGGCGTGCTGCCCTCCCGGCAGAAGCTGCTCAACCTGAAGCTCGCCGGGCGCCCCGCCCCCGACTCCACTCTGCTGTCCCAGCTCGCCATCAAACCCTCCCTCAAGATCATGATGATGGGGTGAGGCATGGTGGTGATGGGGTGAGGCGTGGTGATGATGGGTTGCATGGTGGTGATGATCTATGTAACCACGTGTAAACATGCACTGACACTTATAAGTGCCTTGTGGATGCTATCTGTACACTTGTCGTCTTTCTTCCTTTTCTTCCTCAGTTAGTTGAGAATGATCCACGGTGCGGCGTGCCTCCCCCCGGCAGCACGGTGGAGAGTGAGATCGTGGTGGGCCCGTCACCACAGGAAGCCCCCGACGTGGAGGTGCTGGACGACCTGCAGCTGCCGGAGGACGAGGCCGTGGCCATCAAGGACCGCCCAGAGAACCTCGCCAAGCTCAGACGCCGCTCTCAGCACTTCAAGGTGCGCCGCTCTCAGCACTTCAAGGTGCGCCGCTCCACTCGACTACCCTTTCTATTGCCTTCTTCTCGCCTCCTCACCTTTCCTACTAGGATTATCTTGTGAGTGGTCCCTCTCCTTCCCTCACCCCCTCTTCCCGCTCTTCCCCTCCTCCCTCTCTCCCCTGCACCCCCGTGGCAGCTGAAGGTGCTGAACCCACCGAGGGCGGGCAAGCGGCTGCTGGTGCTGGACATCGACTACACGCTCTTCGACCACGTCTCCCCCGCTGAGAATGCTGCCCAGCTAATGCGCCCCTGTGAGTCAGGCTCATGCGCCCCTGTGAGTCAGGCTCATGCGCCCCTGTGAGTCAGGCTCATGCGCCCCTGTGAGTGCCAAGGGGCTGCCGCTACGGGTAGATTGTGCGACAATGCTAGTGCGGTGCCTCCCAGCATGCATGTGCCAGTTGCATGCACGTGGAGTGAGCCGATGAGGATGCTGATTTTGAAGGAGGTGATGACATGTGCAGCAGTGGGACGGCATGCGTTGAGGGCGAGCAGGGGTGTGAGAGTGGTGTACGGGGCGAGTGGTGTACGGGGCGAGTGGTGTATGGGGCGAGTGGTATATGGGGCGAGTGGTGTACGGGGCGAGTGGTGTATGGGGCGAGTGGTGTACGGGGCGAGTGGTGTACGGGGCGAGTGGTGTACGGGGCGAGTGGTGTATGGGGCGAGTGGTGTACGGGGCGAGTGGTGTATGGGGCGAGTGGTGTACGGGGCGAGTGGTGTATGGGGCGAGTGGTGTTATGGGGCGAGTGGTGTACGGGGCGAGTGGTGTACGGGGCGAGTGGTGTACGGGGCGAGTGGTGTATGGGGCGAGTGGTGTACGGGGCGAGTGGTGTACGGGGCGAGTGGTGTACGGGGCGAGTGGTGTATGGGGCGAGTGGTGTACGGGGCGAGTGGTGTACGGGGCGAGTGGTGTACGGGGCGAGTGGTGTATGGGGCGAGTGGTGTATGGGGCGAGTGGTGTACGGGGCGAGTGGTGTACCGGTTGGGGCGAGTGGTGTATGGGGCGAGTGGTGTATGGGGCGAGTGGTGTATGGGGCGAGTGGTGTATGGGGCGAGTGGTGTATGGGGCGAGTGGTGTACGGGGCGAGTGGTGTACGGGGCGAGTGGTGTATGGGGCGAGTGGTGTACGGGGCGAGTGGTGTATGGGGCGAGTGGTGTATGGGGCGAGTGGTGTACGGGGCGAGTGGTGTACGGGGCGAGTGGTGTACGGGGCGAGTGGTGTATGGGGCGAGTGGTGTATGGGGCGAGTGGTGTATGGGGCGAGTGGTGTATGGGGCGAGTGGTGTATGGGGCGAGTGGTGTATGGGGCGAGTGGTGTATGGGGCGAGTGGTGTATGGGGCGAGTGATGTATGGGGCGAGTGGTGTACGGGGCGAGTGGTGTATGGGGCGAGTGGTCTACGGGGCGAGTGGTGTATGGGGCGAGTGGTGTACGGGGCGAGTGGTGTACGGGGCGAGTGGTGTACGGGGCGAGTGGTGTATGGGGCGAGTGGTGTATGGGGCGAGTGGTGTATGGGGCGAGTGGTGTATGGGGCGAGTGGTGTACGGGGCGAGTGGTGTATGGGGCGAGTGGTGTATGGGGCGAGTGGTGTATGGGGCGAGTGGTGTATGGGGCGAGTGGTGTATGGGGCGAGTGGTGTATGGGGCGAGTGGGGTATGGGGCGAGTGGTGTATGGGGCGAGTGGTGTATGGGGCGAGTGGTGTATGGGGCGAGTGGTGTATGGGGCGAGTGGTGTATGGGGCGAGTGGTGTATGGGGCGAGTGGTGTACGGGGCGAGTGGGTGCAGAGGGGCGGGCAGGCTGGTGAAAGTGGAGAGGGCGCGGGGAGTGAATGAGGGCAGAGTGCTCCGCACTGGGTTAAGCTAGTGCATTGCTGCTGCACACTCACTGCATCTCACCCACCTCCCTTCTCTCACTCTCTGCACCACACCACCTGCCTCTTCCCTCTACTCAGTCCCGCTCCATCCTCCCTCCCTACATCCCACCAGCCCCCCACCCCTCCACCCCTCCATCCCTCCATCCGTCCGCCCCTGCCCCCTCCATCCCGCCATACAGACCTGCACGAGTTCCTGGCAGCCAGCTACTCCGCTTATGACATCATCATTTGGTCCGCCACCAGGTGATGACGTCATGCCACCAGGTGATGACGCCATGCCACCAGGTGATGACGCCATGCCACCAGGTGATGACGCCATGCCACCAGGTGATGACGCCATGCCACCAGGTGATGACGCCATGCCACCAGGTGATGACGCCATGCCACCAGGTGATCATCACCAGGTGTTACTAGCCTCATCAGTTGATGATTCTGTGTGAATTCCATTTTCACTCGTCATCTTGAATCATCTTGTTGCTGTCCTCCTGTAACCATGTTCCCATCCCATCTTGCATCCTCCGGGGTGGCGTGTGGGCAGCATGAGGTGGGTGGAGGTGAAGATGCGTGAGCTGGGCGTGTTGGGGCACAGCGACTACCGCGTGCTGGCGCTCGTGGACCACATGGCCATGATCACCGTGCACTCGCCCCACCGTGGCGTCTTCGACTGCAAGCCCCTCCAAATCCTCTGGGACAAGTTTCCCGAGGTGCCCCTGCCTCTCCCTTCTTCCACGCATTCCTTGCCAAATAGCATGCTCTGTGTGTTCTGCTTTTCTTGCCTGCTCCATGCTTTTCATCTTCCTTGCCTGCTCCCACACGCCGCCACATGCACTTGTAACCATATGGAGCTATTCGCAAGTCATGTGCGTTCCTTTGCTCTACATCCACACTCACCTCATTCCCAATAATTCCTTGGGGACGCCCTGCACTCGTCTGTGCTGCACCCCTCCCTCACCGGCCCGTGTGCGGCGGCCAGCACTACAGCGAGGCCAACACGATCATGTTTGACGATCTGCGCCGCAACTTCGTCATGAATCCGCGCAACGGGCTCACCATCCGCCCCTTCCGCCGCGCCCACGCCAACCGCCACTCCGACCGCGAGCTCGCACACCTCACTGAGTATTTGCTCGCCATTGCTGACCTGGACGACTGGAGCCAGCTGGATCACAACCAATGGGAGCGCTTCATGCGGCGCCTGAAGAAGTAGGGTGGGTGTCCAACAAGGCATGGCAGCTTTTGATGCCACGGCATGATGATGTTGCATGTGCTTTGCAGGTAGACGGCTGAATGCCAGATAGCGATGGTAGCACATGGTTGGAGCGAGCACCACATACCGGTACCGTCGTCGCCTGGATACGGTATAAGACATATGTGTCCTATTTGATACCGATTCAAAAAGTGGCTGTCTATCTTGAAAAATGAAGGGTGTTGAAGTTAATAATTTGTCTTACCGTATCACCCTGAATAGTAGCGCATATGCGCTCATAATAACATCAAAAATTTTAAGGGGGGGCGCTTATAACTGAGTGTAGGGCATAAGTGCATGCGCGCATGAAAAGGAAAAAAAAATGAAATATGCGTTTAGAGGTACCAATCGAAGCCCTTTCTAAGGCAAGCACGATCGTGTAACGTTCACGTGGAATCGTGCATGAAAACCTTGCGAAAACAGCAGTGACTCGATTTACCACCGCACAAAAGTCATCCCGAAGCAACGCATATGCCAACGCTGACTCGGAAGCTGCTGTGCGGCCCAATCAGGAACCGATCAGGTGCCAAACAGGAGCATATCGATCGATCTTTCTAGAAGGGGGACGAAGATGCCCTGCCAGTGCTGCATGTGACGGGCCGCAAACTCTCCTCTGCGGGTTCAGGCACCGACACCGAGGCTGGCACCGACACTGGCACCGACACTAGCACCGAGGCCGGCACCCCGGCAGACATCCTGAGAAACTACCTATTCCAACGTTTCCGCCTGTTAACCGCAAGCGTCCTCACCCCTCTTCTAAGAACCAAGATGCCCGCCCCCTTTTCACAGGAACAAGCCTTCGCAGCATAAGCGTAACGCTTATACCGCGCAGGAGAAGCTGATGCGGTGGATGTGTTGGTGTCGCTACGAGTGTTGTCTCGCGACTCAAGAATCCACCGCAAATGCCTCTCGGAGTGGAACAGAGCCGCCGCCATGCTCAATGAAGCGTACTCAGAATGGAAGCGGATGCACGGGTGCGGGAGGTCATCGTGGTACATGCCGATGGAGCTGAAAGTTTACGCAAGGCTACTCAAATAGCGCCGAAGATAGCACAGTTTTGTGCAGCCCCTCAAACAAGAGTAGCAAAGACCAAGTCGTCGACGTACATGAGGATGTAGAACGGCGGCAGAGAAGGGTTTGTGCACAGAAACAACAACGGGTCAGCAGTCGAAAGAGCAAACCCAAGAGACGCAAGTGTCCTCCTCAGTGTGTTGTGCCACTCCCGGGGTGCCTGGCAGAGAACGTAGACTGGCCACCGGAGGCTCGACTGGTTACTTTCAGTAAACGACCCAGTGAAGCCAGGTAGGCGGCGCAGCCCGATCTCCTCGTGAAGGCTGCCTTGCAAGAAAGCTGTCGAGTGTAGCTCGTAGTCACACAATGCTGCAACATGCAGTTACACCCAAAGAGTAGTCATCTTCGAGGTGGGGGAGAAGGTATGGAAGAAGTCGATCCACTGTTGCTGACTGAAGCCTCTAGCAACGTAACGTGCCTTTAAGGCGGGCGGAGAACCCGGCAGCCACTTCACTCTGAAAATCCGCATGCCATCGACTATATTGGCCCTAGGAAGGAAAACCTCGTCGACGTAGGTGCCCGCGGAATTCTGAGAAGCCATCTCTGCGTCCATGGCTGTCTGCCACTGAGAGGAGTACCCACCCGTGATCGCCTCTGCGTAAGAGCGCGGGGTAGGGATGTCTAGTGCATCCGGGTCTCCCTCAGGGCAAAGTAGCATGGACACGAGATGAGGTACAGTGGCCGCAAGGCTCTCAAGCTCAAACTGCCTGTCCTCAAGTACGTCACTGCCAAGGGCAAGCTTACCTCCGACGGATGGAGGTCAGTCGACTCAGACTCAGTAACAAGACTCGCGACGTAGTCGAGACGACAATTAGCAGCAAAGTCTACGAGATTAGTGACTAAGGCAAACGCAGCAGTAGACTCAAAGGAAGGGTCAGTGAAGTGACCAGGAGATGAGTGATAGTAGGACTAGCAGTACGAGCAAGGTCAGACTTAGGGTCAAGAACGTCAGGAAGAGAGGACGCCAAGGAGACGGCATATAAATAGGCTGTGGAACAGAGGAATGACAAAGTGCCATAGTGTGCGTGCCGGGGACAGGTGGAGGACGAGGACGACGAGCACAATGGATAGTGCGAACAGGGGAGGCAGGACAAGACTCAGGCTCACGACGTTCTGCTAGAGAGCCTGTCCGCGCAGGGTAAGGAGAAGGAGCAGGCAGTGGGGAGCCAGGCACTAATGGTGGCTGTGATTGGTCAGGCATTAGACACAAGAGAGGTGGAGTAAGACCAGTGGAAGACGGAAGACTAAGAACGTGGCGAAGTGCCGAGTCAGGTGGTGGCAGTGACGACTTCGGCTGTGGGAAGAAAATCGGTCGCTGGTGCGCAGTACCCACAGTACCAGAGCCTCCAGCTCGAGTACCTCCAGCTCCAGTACCTCCAGCAGCTCCAGCACCTCCAGCTCCAGCACCTCCAGCACCAGCAGCTCTAGTACCTCCAGCACTAGCAGCTCCAGCACCTCCAGAACCTCCAGCTCCAGCACCACCAGCACCAGTAACCTAACCAGAGTAGCCTCGCCGAATAACCCACTCGAGAAGCTGCTACGGCGAGAGAGTCTACTGCAGACGAGACTGCTGCTGCTATCCAACGCCAGAACCTCCAGTACCTCTAGATTTAACACCTCTAGTACCTCCAGCTCCAGTACCTCTAGCACCTGCAGCTCCAGTACCTCCAGTACATACAGCTACAGCACCTCCAGTGCCTCCAGCTCTAGCACCTCCAGCACCAATAGCTCCAGTACCTCCAGCACCTCCAGCTACAGGACCTCTAGTACCTCTAGCTCCAGTACCTCTAGCTCCAGCACCTCCAGCACCAGTACCTCAAGCTCCAGCACCAGAGCGGCCTCGCCAAATAACCCACTCGCGAAGCTGCTGCGACGAAAGGGTCTTCAGTCAAAGAGACTGCAGCTGCTTTCCAATGCCCAAACCTCCAGCAGAATCACCCTTGACCCCACCACCACTAGGACTCGTAGCACCCACAGAACCAGCACCAGCAGACTCAGCACCCCCAGAATCAGCACCCGCAAGACCAGCACCTCTAGAGTCCACAGCGACAGGCTGCGAAGGCGGTGATTGGCCACTGTGTCGTCAGCAACGGGGTCACCCCCCTCAGTTGGGTCAGAGGTGTCAGACAAGACCTCCAAAAGCTCAACCAAGGGGGGTGGGTCAACCTGAGACACACCTGAGGGAGCAGGACCCTGTGGGGGGAGGGGATCTACCGAGGGGGGGCCCGGAACCAGGAAGAGGGGCGGCTGGGGGACTGGAGAAGACGCGTGCGGGTGGAGACGGCAGAAGCAAACCGACTCGTTAAAGGTGACGTCCCGGGAGGACAGGGCGCGGTGCGAGGCAGGGTGGTAAAACCGCCAAGGCGGGTCGTCGGTGGGGAAGCCAAGAAAGACGTAGCGGAGGGTGCGAGGAGAGAGCTTGGCTGCAGTGGTATCGTGGACAAGGGAGAGCGCGCCCCCGACCTGAAACGGCGACGCATCGCCAACCTCCCCCGTCCAACGCAGTATAGGTGAGGCCTCTGGCACAGAGACACGGGGCCAGAGGTTGAGCTGATGCGCGGCGTATCGGACCACAAATGGCCACAGAAAATGGGGAGCAGCCGCATGAATCTGTAAAGATGTGAGAATGAATGACTAGAATGAGCAACTAAAAGGGTAGATATAGCAAACCTAACCCTAGCACTAACGAAGGAGTACATCACCTATAGAAAACAATAGAAATTGTAACAACCCTAGTTTGCCATACCCCCATAGTCTAGGTGACGGTAGTCCTGTGGAGAGCAACAAACAACCCAAGAGCAAGGGTTACATGACCAGTCAGCAAGTACAAGCAACAGTCACAAGACCAATTCACAAGAATACAGCAACTCTCAGGGTGGATCTCAAGATCACCACACAGTCCGAGAACAAGCAAGGGGCCACAAGGTTAGTCCACATGCAAATATATAGCAGATATACAGAATGCAAGAGTACAAGACATGCATGACAAGCATCTCTATAGAAGCAAGGGGCCACAAGGCCTGTCCACGAGCACAGATATAGAATATATAGTGAGATGCAAGTGTACGCATCGCTACACAAGCATGTGAGGGCCTACAGACACAAGGCCAAGCTGGGTGCAGAAATGCTGGTGGTCACAAGGCGGCAACGCCTTGGTGAAAATATATGCCGTGTTGGCCTCAAAGACCATACGTCGCACGAGTGCCTAGCCACGCTGCTGCAACTCTCGCAGAAGGAAGTAATGAAGATGCATGTGCTTCGCCTTTCTAACCAATCGAGGCTCCTCGCACAACAGGATAGCAGACCTGTTGTCGGCGAACAAGACTAGGGGAGAGCGAGGCCGCTCACCAAGGTTGGTGAGAAGGAAAGACAGCCAGCGAAGCTCCTGGGCGGCCATGGCTGCAGCGTACACCTCTGCCTCACAGATGGAACTAGAGATGGACAACGCCCGAGTCTGTCCCAAAGCTAAAGCAGTAACCCTGTGTAGACCGCAGCGACTCTGCGTCGTCGGCCCATGACGAGTCCGAGAAACGTGTAAGTGTAACTGGCTGCTTCCCTCCAAGGACAAGTTCCATGCCTAATGTACTCGCCACATACTTCGCCACCCTCTCAGCAGCGTACCAGTGGGAAGGTCGGTGTTTCCCAGGCGCAACGAAGCGCGCAAGGACGCTAAGAGGGTAACCTAGGTCTGGGTGAGTGCAGGTCATCAGGTACATGAGACAACCTTCAGCACAGGATATGGACCACTGGACTCAAATGGCTCATCCGAAAGTGGAGCCGTAAGCCCATGATCCATAGCAAGAGGGGTGGGCTGTACCTTGGAGAACGGGAAGCAAAACAACGTGAGAATCTGCTCGACCATATGCGACTGCGTCAGCGTATTGGTGCAA